CATATGTAACATATTTTTCCGTTCCGATACAGTAGAAGAAAATATATGTAGCTCAGGGTTGAACTGTAGTCCTTAGTGCTCCCTGAGCTTGGCTATTTGCTTGTAGACATTTCATTACCCAACTAGGTAACATCATCAGTGTGAGTGAGTGTGGGGTTTGCTCCCTGTTTATATACAGTAGCTTGCCCTGCCCGTTTTGGTGGGGGGGTGGTTTTCTCCTTGGTAGTTCCTTGATTAGAGTATTGTTTTCTGCTTGATTGTTTGCCTGGTGTTAATCCCTGCTTATCTGGGTGTTGGCTGCTGGACAGCATGTGTTCTGGTCTTTTTGTTTCCTTCTTAGCTTTTTTATTGTCTCTTTTGAATGGTGTGTAAATATGATTCATTTCTATGTGTCCATTGATGGCTGATTTGTCTGAATGCCAAGTTTCCAGGAATTCCCTAGCATTTTTGGATTTAGCTTGGTCTAGGATGCTCAACTGCGCTCTCAGTTGAAACTATGGTTGAGGTTGAACTACAGTTATCATGGACAGAACACAATACATACAAAAAGCCAAAGAATTACTGGAGGACAAAGAAATTTACATCCCAGTAAACACCAACCCAATAGAAAAACTGGACAACCTGATCAACAGAACCCTCAATGACCTAACCAAGAAAGTCAAATCACAAAAGAAGAACAGTGGCAGATGAAAAGCAATGGGCCCATCCTACCACGCTTTTATGGATGCCCCAAAATACACAAGCCTGACATACCTCTTCGTCCAGTTGTATTGCTACCAGGGATCCCAATATACAACATAGCCAAAGAACTTACATCTTACAGAGGGGAGTGAATATTCTATCGACTCCCACTACAGTGCCTCCAGAAAATCAAAGACCTAAAAATAGAAGTAGATGAAATTATGGTTTCATTCGATCTCACTGCACTCTTTACGTCCATAGATCCAGAACTAGCAAAAGAATCCATGGCAGCAGCACTACACAACACACCCGACCTAGCCAAATATGCTAAGATTTAAATACACAGAATCATGGACCTCATTAATCTGTGCCTCACTACTTGCTTTCAGTTTGATAAATATATCAACAAATCCGAGGAACACCCATGGGATCACCACTCTCAGGACTCATAGCAGAGACCGTACTACAGCATCTAGAAACTATAGCACTCCCACACATACAACCAACAGGCTCTGGTATGTAGATGACCCCTTTGTCATAATAAAAAAGGAACAACTAGAGAAGATACATGAAACAACAACATCTTCAAAGGAATAAAATTAACAAGGGACGAAGAAAACAAAAACACACTACCCTTCCTGGATATCCTCATCAGGAGAGGAAATGACAGCAAATTAGAAATGCAAATCTATTGAAAAACAATCCACACTAACAAAGTAACAACTCAACCTCCCGCAAGGGGAGCTATGTAAGAACATTATTCAGACGAGTACAAACGCACTGTAGCAACCCAGAACACCAGAAAAAGGAAACATCTTCCAACAAAATGGATACCCATACAACTTTATCAAAAAGTGCCTGACCACTCAACCCACTACAGCACAATCAACATAAGCTATTAAAAGGATAACACTACCATACATCAAAAACATCTCAGAAACAACCAACAAACTATTACAACCAGGTGGGATCACTACAGCACACAAACCAACTAAAGCCCAACAAAAGCCCTCCAAAACATCTTAAGGAAACCAAAAGACCCAGTAGCCCAACAAGAAAAAACAGGAGTCATCTACAACATGCAATGTAAGGATTTTAATAGCTACTATGTAGGACCGACAGACAGAAGACTAGCAGAGCGCATCCATGAACACCAACTAGCAGTCAGAAGACATGATAAAAACTCCTTAATCTCACGACATGTGGACAGACTCAACCATAGTTTCAGCTGGGAAACAGTGAGCATCCTAGAGCAAGCTAAATCCAAACATACTAAGGAATTCCTGGAAGCTTGGCATTCAGACAAATCAGCCATCAATAGACACAGA